GCATATGCATGCATTCCCTCCCAATCCAGAGACAGAGCGTCAACGGCCCAAGCCCTTGGATCGGAGAGACAAACGTTGGCAAGTGATTGTTCAGTGAAGTGGCGAACAGGTGTATGTGGGGTCTGTCCAACACCTTACAAATTCCCTCGAAAATCGAGGGATTCAGTTGCCACTCTGTCAAAACCGGCTGGCGGCGCCTGTAAAGAGTATCCGCCAGACATTCAACCTACCTGGTAGATGCTTGACACAAATTGTCAACTGCATTTCCTGGCAAAGAAGAAGAATGCGGATAGCGAGAGCACACAGGGTGTGAGACCTGGTTCCCCCTGTCTATCCAGATACGCGACAACTCTACAGTTGTCCGTAGCCACACAAACCAACTTGGAATGCAGGATCTCCCGAAGAGACTGAAGAGCCAACAGAACAGCCCTCATCTCGAGCACATTGATGTCCCCCGAGAGCTGTTCCCAAGACCACTCCCCCGACCGGCAATGCCCTTCGAGGTAAGCTCCCCACCCTATCATAGATGCATCCGTGTACAGGGTCATAGTGGGAGCCGGCTTGGACAAAGGAACCCCTCGGAGAACATAGTCCTGATGAGTCCACTAGCGTGCGAACTCAGTTGGCAAGGAGAAACATATGGAGTGGCCTGATGTGATGTCTCCCTAAGGGGACCACATCTGCCAGGGTGTTGAGATAACCCAGAAAACTGAGAAACCAACGTACCTAGGATGTACGTCATTGGAGGTTTGCTGACATAGTTACGCTAACATGTATCAGATTTCTGCTTATTTTTCAAGGTCAATTAATACAAATTGTGTTTTGCTTTAATTCTTTAACTTTAAAATGAGTGTACCACTAACGTACGAAAATGTAGTGTGTTTAATTCTACTACGTCGGCAGTATAACTGAACTTTTCTCGGTTGAAATATTTTTTGGTAGAGAAAAAGACACGAGGATGGGTTATCATATTTTGTTTGAACCAGTGTCACTTATAGCCGGCGAACGGCATATAAATATGTGGTTATAAATTATTCTGGATCAAATTTTATGAAAGTACAATAAAGGCCGAAATCAGACTGTGATAATTCGGTATTCCTTTATCTCTTGTACGTGAAACCTTTTTAAAACTGTTTTTTTTCTATATTGTTGGTGTGTCATACTGTATTGCTATTGTATAAGCCATGTGGAACTGGCCTTTGACGAATTTAATTTTCGAATGAAGGTATTAAAGCATCAAGTGACAAATGATTGAACGTGCAAAAGAGCAACCTTATTTGAAAACGATAAAAAAACTACGTTTTCGCAAAATGTGGAAAAAGCGGCGTTCGTTATTTTCTCACCTTTTTTACTTGTACATCCCAAAATATTGCAATCAGAAATATTGATAATTTCCTGAATTATTAACTCAACTGTTTTTTTAAAAAACATGATTTATTTCTACTATCGAAGAAACATAAATCCAATGTGCAAAGACAACGTTTATCTTTTATGGTATTTCATGTTTTTGTTTTTTGTTTTTCTGTAAGGGGACATGTTACAAGTGTAAATCCACTTGGTAAGGCTTTTTTAGTTTCTGGCTTAAACATATCTTCATGACACCACAGCGGTAACACTATCATTTCAATGCATGACATACATGCTATATTTAATTAAAATAGTAATGTATCGTTTGTCAGCCAGAAAACATCACCGATTAAGCTGATACTTTCGTTATTGTTTTTAATGTATCCATTTTAATGTATTCATTGTATCTCTTGTTTTCTACATAATGTATGCAAATATGACTTGTTACCGTTTTGTTGCTGTGGATATCATTTGATATCATTATCTGATTTCCTGTTGTTATTCTTAGTTTTTTTTTAAATGCTTCGGTAGATTGCATAAATTTTGTCTGCCATTTTGATTTTGAATGTTTTGTGGGCTGAGGTTGCAGCAGAACGTTGATGCACAAAACTTGAATCCCATGGCGTTATCGGAGGATTAAAGTTGCGAAATATCGATTCTGTAATGTATTACATATTTTCCTGCTGTGAAAAATAACACGACTTGTTATTTTCACACTAAATTAACCAATAAGAGAGCAAACGATTGTTTGAGCATTTTTATTTGAATATTTCGATTATTTATTCACTTTAAACTGAATTAACAAGAACATGTTGTTTTCCTGATGAATTAGAGTTGAATTTAATACCCTAGCTGAACATTTTTCATAAATTTCATAATACGCTGAATACGTTGTATGAGGCCACAAGCAAATTATTATTGTTATCATATTGGTCTGTCTGTCCGCTGTCTCTTCTTTCATAACTTGTGTTATTCTTTTATTCTACTTTTAGTGACAAGAAGAAGGTTGGTCACATCACGATGTAAGTTTTAAATATATCAGGATCCCATTTTGTATCTGAAAAAACCCTGAATAGTGTCACGTTAAGTTATATTGTGCGTTTGGATGACTAAACATACTCTAAAGAACTATAAATACTGTGGAATCAGATATCTTCGTGGGGCCCAAATTTCGCGGTTTCTAGACAAAACGCAATATCGTGGGTACATGAATTCGCGGATTACGAGTACCCACTCAAATGGAGAATTGCTTTATCTCAAACTTGTAATTACTTCGTTGACCTACGGATGCGGAAAAAATATTACCCACGAAATCAACGAAATTGAAAACACCACGCAAATTAGTGATTACACAATATATTATTTGAACAATTAGCTATTAATAAAGGGGAAAAACGTGGATAGTCTAATGGAATTTTTGTATTTTTTCTCTCTTTGAAACGAATATTGGTACAGTAAAGAATTTTGTTCATTGTACTATTTTTAAATTTACTTTAGTGCCAGTATTGTACCGATTCATAACACTATATAATACGAACTATATTTGTTGTGCTCATTGCAATATCAGAAACATTGTCACTATATGGTAGATGCCATTTTTCTTGTTTTCAGGAATGAACATCACAATTGACACGATCAGATACATGCCGTGTTTCCGTTTTCAGGAATGAACAACAGAACTGACACGATGTGTTAGATGCCATTTTTCCTGTTGACAGGAAGCAACATCACAATTTACACTCTATGATACATGCCATTTTTCCTGTTTTCAGTAATCAACCCCGCAATTGACATTCTAAGATACGTATCATGTTTCATGTTTTCAGGAAGCATCATCACAATTGATACTATATGATACGTGTCGTGTTTTCTATTGACAGCCCGATGCCAGTGTAGGATAAGCTGTCGTTTTTCCTTTCGGTAATCGACGAACCAGCTGTGTGGACTTTCGTCGTGGAGTGAGACTTGGCGGCAATCCCATGTTTTGGTGTTGTGTATAAAGAAGAAGCTAAATGGGTGTCGTCATGGCTGACAACACTTCTCTATGGTTTTATGGCTCACTACACTTCTCCATGGTTTCTGTGGTTCTTCAGTAGCTCGATTTATGAATGCATTTGGACACATGAACTTATTTTACATTGTTCCATGTTTTATAATAACTGTACTGATGACATTCAAAAATATTTGCTTTTCGTATTATTTTTTTTACATTTAAATGAATAGAATATCTTTAGCTCTTTTCAATGTTAAAAACTAGTATTTATGAAATTGGGTGTCGTGACGAAACGAGAAGTTTTAAGACAAAAACATCATTTATAAATCATTAAGCTGAGGTTTCAAGACAAGGACAATTACATGTTTGGTGAAATAAGAAGTGGATATACGAGATCAGTCATAAAACAAGGACAATCTTGTTTACATGTGAAGGACTTACCACTTTTCGCAATACAGAAGGTTTTGTTGTCGTATTTATAATTACGTGTCGTCATTTCCGTATTGCGTATCGGGCATTTCGATGCTGTAGTGTAAATTAAATTAACACAAGAATAACAATAGTAAAAGATACAAAGACAGATATTGAAACCAAACGACTTCGAGATAGTCACGGCTTTACAAGTACATACATGTATCACGTGCTTACAATAATTCACAAGCTCGAGGTCGTTACGATTGTTGCTGTCGAGCAAGTTACGCTCTGTCGAGTAATTATTTTTACAAAAGCAATGTCCTAACTCTGTTAAAATAGCGTTTTGGAAAATATCAAGATCCCTATGAAAATGTATGTGTGGGTGCACGTGAGAAGGCGTCCTCTATATACGCATTAACAAAAAAACTACTCTGACTTTATTTACCGTACACACAAACAATCCTCCCACATATACCTGTAAAACCAAGCGCGCCACCCAACCTGAAAACCTGATTTGGCGCGACAGAAGGTCTTCCAGCCCGACAATGCTAAAGGTGTTTTTTTACAAAATTGATGCTGGGATTTCTTACATATGACGATGCCCACACATACATCTGTTACATAAACATAAAATTCTGCTATAATTTTATTTCAGACTGTACTACGCCGTGCGAGGTGCGAAGCTAGAATGAACATACACGTGCCCGTAAACTACCCTGAGCATGTGCCTCAATCTGATTGGTCAAAACCTCTGCACGAGACAGGCAACTGCCCTCGTATACTCCGTGTATACAGGACAAATACTTCCCGCTATTCTCCGAAACGCGGGAAAGTGATAATATCATGCGATAGCTTAATTCTGGTTACATGTACCCGTCATGTATATATACCATGCACAAGCAGGCTCTGGAATGGTGTTACCTGTGTACATGAGTGAGAGTAATTTGGTTCCATAGACGAACAACAAATTGTTTTAAATGTTGGCATTTTGTTGTAGATGAGACAATTTTATATCATATTTCTCATTTTTGATATATGTGAAGGGAGATAACTGTAATTGTGTAAGTTTCATCTTTTTCGTATTATTTTTTATTATTTAAGGAAGACAACTCTTATCATAATCAAAATGACTGTAAAATGAAAATGAACTTTTGGATACAGAGAATGTATTATATTCTGATTTCAGTGATATTTGATTAATTAAAATGTCTTGAGAAAAAAAACACTTTTGTAAATAGAAGATTCTATTGACAATAGAAAATACTGAAATTCTTTATATACATGTATAAGTATAATCATCCGTTGTAAAAATATTTATGAAAACAAATTGTTTAGTCTCTCAATCATTGAAATTATGTTTAACGAGCATAACGCATGTTTATCGCTATTCATTTTCGAGCTAGGGTATCTAGAAGGTAAGGACCATCGAGCAATACGACCATGAACCGGGTCGAATCTGGATAATATTAAAACTGAAAGGACACTTATCATTTTCAACGCACAAAAAACCCCAGAAGTAACAAAATAGTAATAGTATTTTATGAAATGCTATGCACAACAATAAGTCCAATGCAAGTATAAGTTATTTGGTACAAGACACAAGATTAGATAGAAAAACCCTTCCTCACACAAGTATTCTTGAACGTAATACCTTGATATGGTCAACATGTTTAATGGGTAAATGAGAAAGGTTCATGCTCGTTAGTGTTTTCCTTACTCAACAGATTGAAATAAAACAACAAATAGCATATACGTTACTTGGTACAAGACACGAGATTAGATAGAAATACCCTTTCTCACACAAGAGCACAAGTTAAATATTACAAGCAATGTATACAAAATTAATAAGCTCACGTTATCTCAAACACAGAAACTTGACGCGTGTTATCGCTCTTAATGTTCTTTGATGTTTTTATTTAGATGAAACTTGTCAGCATTGACGCAGAAGTTGAAACGACTAAAACAAGTTCACATCTATAACCTCAGGAATTTCACTAAAACAATTCATATTTTCTAAATTATTTCAACACCTAATCAAACATTTAAAAAGTTTATTGATGACATTTCTGGATATAAAACCTTTGCAGTTCAGGGACGTAATACTTGAATATGGTCGATTGGTCAACATGTTTAATGGGTGAATAAGAAAGGTTCAAGCTAGTTAATGTTCTAGTTTTCCTTACTCACAGATTGTGATAAAACAACAAATAGCATATTAGTCAACAAAGAGGTATTTTTTTGAGCAAACAATGTTATCTAGATTAGGGTGGTCGGGTGGTGCAGTGGATAGCGCACTTGCCTTTCACCAAGGCGGCCGAGGTTCGATTCCCCGATCGGACGTGAAAAGTTATGGGGTCACCTGGCCGACTACGTGGGTTTTCTCCGTGCACTCCGGTTGCCTCCTACACTAAGACCCCGCGCGCTAACATCAGGACCAACAAGAGTGATTAATATAAGTTGACATAACTTGTTTCATAATTGTTGTAAAATAAATAAAGTTTATATTTATCTAAATATACAGATTAAAGAGCTGATAGAAAAAAAAATCGCTTCAAATGTATCGCATTACGATCCCGATATTATCTCTTTTAGTCCTTCCTGTTTATCTCAGTATTATTCAATCTATTTAAATGTAATAATAGCATTGTATAATACTGCTTTTATGCTGTGGCACCTCAGCTTGTGTAAGCCGGGACGGTTGAACCAGTAAGACAATATCAACTGATTAATTCTTGAGACGAACTCCTCTGATGAAGCGTGTTTTTTACAGGAGGATTTGGCATGAAAGGTAGAAACCGTAGTATCTTGGAATTCTTGTACCTATCATAGAAGATAGGGTTATACACTTCGTACCCTTCTGAGTAGTCGGACCCAGTGGTAGCGGAAGCGCTGGTATCATCTGGTGTCTCCCAGGCCGCAATGCCTCGCTCCTCTCTAGTTCCTGATGAATGAAAAATATAACCATGAATTGTCAAACACAATGAATCTTTACTCAATGACTTTAACGTAACATCAAGAGCCTCGAATCCTCCGCTCTCTATTGTTAAATTATTTATTACACGCTAATGTATGTTGATCCAAAGGTTTAAAATATGAACTACCTGTCGTTATTGTACTGTGTCTAATTATGAAATAATCAACGTATGTGTGTGCATTATGGTGAAATATATAACGAGGTTGCATATATGGACAAAATATTAACGTAGGCCATTTTATTATTTTTTCAACATTTTCGAATCCTGAGTTATATATTCCATCATAATATACAAACATATGTTCACTATATCTATTCTACCCAGTAAAATTTCGTGTCTACCTCAGTGTCCATATGCCTTTGATACGCTGAGAGGCAAGGTGACATAAAATAATTATTTAAGTTAGGTTGTTCGTTTATGCGCACTTACATTTTTTTTAAATTATGCCTAAATTTCTTCCTTTCACAAAAAAACTGTGCTATTCTATCATATGTCTACACATTATGATTTAGGTACTCATATAATCAATATAGGATGTGTCGCTATGACCATGTCGAGAGCATTAGGCTGTTGACCACTACAACATTAAAATCTTCCTTTAAAAGAATTCGAGGGGTTGTAAGGGTAGGAGCTACGGATATTTCTAGTCTAGGCGATAAGGTGCTGTAGGTCGTGAGGTTGAGGCCTGGACAATTGCCTTCCTTCGTCACTTGTGTTTTCTGAGTAATTATATATACTTGTTATATTTCCAAACATTTTCTTCAGGTTGGTAAGTATGGATTATGAGAAGTTCTTTTTACGCAACCAATACAATTTTTTTTCTATGTGACGTTTTGATGACAAATGAAGCTTTTGCACACAAAGTTGTAAAATGTGTACGAGTTGTCCATAAAATCGATGTCGGCAATCACAAACCATGCCACACAGAAAAACCATGTGATTGACTGGGATAACTCCAAAGTTTTGTTCAGTGAGAGCAATCTGTTCAAGTGGCAGATAAAGAAAGCCACCTGGATACGCCGCAGTGGACCAGTTCTAAATCGAGACGAGGGGGCTCAAAGACTCTCGCACATCTATGACCAAGTGTTAACAAAGCGTAGCTGAATTGATTCATTTCAGTACTTTTATAACAACTATTGTACATACGTTTCCAGCGTAGCCGAAATCGACATCGATTTCATGGACGACTCGTACACATCTTACACCTTTGTGTGCATACGCTTCACTGGTCATTTGTCTGATGAAGGTGACAGTGTGCATAGCGTACTAGTCATAGAAACTTCACATAGAAAATTGTAATGGTTGTGTAAAAGGAACTTCTCATAATTGTTATATTTCCATTGTCAAGTGTTTGTAATAAAGATCTTATATTTTCATTGCTGGTGTTTAATGCTTAATACCGATAAAAGTGTTAAAGGAAACAGTAAGCCTACCTGGAACTGTGTTGTCAAGGAAACATGCCAGGACACCGCCAGCAAGGTTAGGGTTCCCTAGCAACATTTTGATGACGTCGTCTGCTTCTCTGTTACCTAATGAAATTTTAATCATATGAAGGCTAAAACTACTTGATTTAGATCAATAATTACGATATCATTATACAGTATAATTCATTAGAATATTGAAACTCGAAGCACACTTAAAAGACATTTGAGCTCAAGTAACACTAACAAATCAATCTGAAAAATCGGCGTATAAAACGAAGGACAATTTGAAACACCGTGTGATCTAAAGCTGTGCTCGTTCTTATATTGAAACATTGTACATTTGTGCATTGTACCGTTTGTGTATAATGTTACCGTGATAGAATGACTTAAAACTTTGTGGAACTGCTAATCACTGTTGAAATTACATATCCATTACTTGAGAACATAAATAAATAAATAAACATAGCGTATTTTCATTTGCCTTTAAGCAATACAACAGAGCAATGCTGAACACTAGCCGATTTTTAAATCAGACATTTATTTCGTCAATGCCGTATCCGTTTGTATCAACTTGAATGTTATTTGATTCATGTGCGATTGAAATACCATTCCAACGCCTACCTAGCTACTCACCTGTACTGATGGCGTTATTGTACGCCTCCACCCAGTGAGGGATCATCAGACCAACAAGTAGAGAAGTTCCGATGATCGCAAGGTTCCGAGTGGACGACAGATCGACATACTTCAAATTGGACAGGACGACGCCATTGAAAGCACCAAACATGACGATGAGCACGCCACCTAGCACTGGATACGGTATTGTGATAAAAACAGCGGATACTTTTCCGATGACACCAAATACTATATAGATGAGGGCGACGGCAATAAAAACCTGACGACTTCCAACCTGAATCGAAATTAAAAAAATACATGAAAAAGAAATCATTCCATATCGAAAAAAAACCCAGAATTTTGAAGATGATGTATTATAATTTTATAACATTTTTATGTCCAAAAGATTCGGCGAGCTTGGGCATTTGTGCTATATGTAAAAAAAAGAAATTCATTGAAACCATACATAAAAATGATATGTAAAACTGTCCTTCTCGCGAATAGTTTGTAGTGTCAAACCGTGTTCACTTACAACAAAGATTTCACACGTTTTTCTGGAGTAGAAGTTTGACCTTGTCCGTTTTTCATGAAACCTTTCTCGGTTTGCTGTGTTTGCTTTTCAATGGTAACAGCAGAATGAAAATCGGTTTTCAATTAGTCCTTCCAATGGCCTATCATACACCAAACGAGTGCCTTATTCCACTGAAAAACGTATACACAATATAGGTATATACCCATGGTGAGCCCCAGACAGTTTTTCGGATGTTATATGAATAAGTCACTACTTATCAAATTCCCTTTCAACTTATATACTACGCCTGTCTGTTGAATAGGGAAAATATAAAACTATTATACATGACGGATGTTCTCAGCCGAAATTAATAGTAGGTTTAGCTAATAACTCATGTTTGAGCATCAGAACGGTTTCATGAAGACGGACCCTGGAGTCATACTTACAATGCCTTTGAAATTAATAGGCAATGCTACTTTGGGTATTTCTCGCTCTTTCAAATATTACTTTATTTCCTGTTACAATGTAAAGTCTTTATATTCATTCAACGTACCCTTGTCAAACCTATCACTCCAACATTCCCGCCATACGTGGTAGTCGCGTGACCACAACCAATCACTCCCGAAAGTGCACTACATAATCCTTCAATTGCGATACCTCGATTAACACCTTGTGCAGGAGGCGGAGGAACATTGCAAGTCGCTGCACACGCGTAGTAGTCACTTATAGAATCCAGTATGGAAACAATTGTTGCCACGCAAAATCCAACAAACGCTGATAAGTTGAAGCTGATTTTCCCGAACTGACCTGAAAAATAGTGTATAATAGGTAAATATCTACCTGCAGTTCATACATTGTATACATACACTGATAGACGTGATGATTTTAATCAGCAGATCATTAGTTTTCTTTCCCTCAGCAGTAACGCACTAGGTTATTCCTGATTATACAGCTGGCACTATATCTGCTGCTTTGTAGCATATTCTCTCAGCAGTGATAGCAACATCCCTGCTTTACCAACATTGGCTTACATGCCGTAGTTGATTCCGTCTTCAAGGGCTTGCTCCGAATATCACGATTTCCATCATAGATGTCGGCTGCTGATGGACAAACCAACAACACAGAGTTTCAAGAGATGCGGGTTATGAAGCCAATTGAAAAGTTTAAGGTTGCCATGAAGACCTTATTGGAAAGAGGGATATTTTCTTGTGATATAAATATCAATTATTCTGATTATGGTCATTACTTTGCTTTGGAGACGTGACATTGATTCGATTTTACATAGATTTACATGGTGAGTGTAGTCGATGAAGAAGAAGACGCTAACACTTCCGGGACACCTGGGTTTATTCTCGTAGTACTTTTTCAAAGGTTGCCATGTAAATGTTTCAAGGTAAAACAAATGAAATTATGACATTGTAACGTTGAGTTAAGTAACACCCTGCTATGTCCGATACGCAACTGTAAAACTCACCAGGTCAGGCGAAGTAAAATCTCTATTCTGTCAGATATCTACTGTACGACTCGTCAGGTCGGGCGAAGTAAAACCTCTATTCTGTCAGATATCTACTGTAAGACTCGTCAGGTCAGGCGAAGTAAACCCTCTATTCTGTCAGATATCTACTGTACGACTCGTCAGGTTAGGTGAAGTAAAACCTCTATTCTGTCAGATATCTACTGTACGACTCGTCAGGTCAGGCGAAGTAAAACCTCTATTCTGTCAGATATCTACTGTAAGACTCGTCAGGTCAGGCGCAGTAAACCCTCTATTCTGTCAGATATCTACTGTACGACTCGTCAGGTTAGGTGAAGTAAAACCTCTATTCGGTCAGATATCTACTGTAAGACTCGTCAGGTTAGGCGAAGTAAAATCTCTATTCTGTCAGATATCTACTGTAAGACTCGTCTCTGTTATGTCTTATACCTATTGTGAGCCTTACCAGGTTAGGCGATGTAAATCTCTATTATGTCTTATACCTACTGTGAGCCTTACCAGGTTAGGCGATGTAAATCTCTATTATGTCTTATTCCTACTGTAAGACAAGCTAGGATAAATAAAGTAAATATTTATACCGTCTGATATCTACTATGAGGCTTACCTGGTTAGCTGAAATAAAATCGGCATTATAACTAACACCTACTGTAAGATAAACCAGGTTAGGTAAAGTAAAACCTCTACTCTGTCGGATGCACACTGCAAGACTTACCCGGTTTGGAGAAGTAAAACCAGTTACATATCTGGTCCGAGAGAAAAGGTAAGAGGTGACTCGTGTCTACTGTTACCCTTACCGGGATAGGGGAAGTAGAACCAGCTGGCTCTACTTATGACATCAGTTCTTGCGTCTGTTCTAGAGTAATAGTCCTTACTGGCCCTGTCTGTGCTGAACACGCCGGCCGCCGTCAGTATACCACATAGTAGCCAGCCGATCACCAGAGCTATCAGTATCTATTCATATAATACAGTTATAAAGTCAACTGATAGATTTAAAAAAAAAAAAGAAGCATTATTATAAGTGAAATATCAGAAATTATCCAATTTGAAAAACAATGCACTGAACTGAAGATATATGATATGTTATATCTTCGCATGTTAAGATCTTACTTTTAGTATTGTTTAATCAGAACAATATTTTTTACATTTACAGTAATATGACTGGAGCAAATAAATTAGGTCAGTCGGGACGCTTTTTTATTTTTTAAATCATAATTTTTGGAGGGGTTGGTGCTAATATAAGAAATGACAAATATCACCAAACATAATTTTAGGTCTTTTAAATAGTAATATGGGATTTAAATTTGGTTTTAATATCTACCCATGAATATATATATTGTTGTTTGTTTGTTCGTTAATTTGTTAACATCCAGTGGACAAGTAAATCCATCACTTGATGGAGTGCGTTCAGGAAAGATAAAATTGTCCAGGTAGGAGGACAAAACTAGGGTCGGTGGGGGTATCTAAAACATATTTTATTTCGGGTAATCATCAGTAATCTGGTATCCAGCCACTGTAACAGGGAAATCAGCCAAGATCGAATTACAGAGGGTTACTGTATTATCAAACTAATTACTCTTAGAGAGAGGTTACACACGTACATTGTTTTTACCAATATTTTTTTCTTTACGAGAGTTTGTGAGAATCTTACTCACATAAATGAAATGCCCCAGTGGACCCGTGCGAACTTCGTGATGGACTTCGTCATGTATATTCCAAATAATAGGATAGTCGGAACAATGGTGATAGGTCCTATAAATTTCAGCAAAAATCCAACCAATCCAGTGGCTCCTATCAGAAAATGTATAGCACCAGCAGCCAATAAGCTGCCCTGTAGCTAAAATAAAAGTTGATGTAAAACTGTTATACTATGATTAGGTATCGAATGTAACTTTCAACCTGTTTTTAGCATCCTTTTTTAAGCTTCATGTATGCGTGTTGCTTAATTAAAAAGTTGTTTTAAGAGTGGAAAACATATTATTTTTAAATATTAATGAGGATACGAAAATCATGTGCATAGAAACAAATTACATAATGTTCAGAACGTTTGTAAGCAACTGGATTGACAGAATATGCAAAACAATACGTTTATTTACAAAGAAAATGTATCACTATTATTCAGGATAACCTATTGAAAGAGCTCTAAACACTGCTCTCGACTTGACAGAATGACATTGTTGTACAGTAAATAGGCGAAAGAACCGAATAAATACTTTCTTTTATGGAACCATTACGTTTTGAGTTTATCTTGGGGTGTTTAGAAAATGAAAACACGTGAATATAAGATATATTACCAAGTCAAACCTACAGTATGTGTATAACGTTACACGCGGACATGAAGGGGAAGTATTATATGATAAATAGAATTGTAAATCTATAATGATAAGTGTAGTTCATACTTACCCCCTGGACTGCCTGCAGAATGATTTCATCAGTACCCTCAGGAAACACCAATTCTGTCATGTTTGTGGTGTTGTTGAAAACTGATACAGAAATTTAGTAACAAAGTATAATATAACAGTCCGTTCGAATTTGGAGCTGTGTGTTATTTGTTACATGTAATCAGACGTGTGTAATGGTATTACATGTAATAAGCCGTGTGTTATGTTATTACATGTAATCAGCCGTGTGTTATGTTATTACCTGTAATCAGCCGTGTGTAATGTTATAACATGGAATTAGCCGTGTTTGTTTTATTACCTGTAACAAGCTGTGTGTTATTTATTACCTATAATTAGCCGTATATTATTATTACTTGTAATTAGCTGTGTGTTATTTGTTACCTGTAATCAGCCGTGTATTATTTATTACTTGTAATTAGCTGTGTGTTATTTATTACCTGTAATTAGCCGTGTGCCATGTATTACCTGTAAATAGCTGTGTGCTATTTGTTACCTGTAATCAGCCGTGTATTATTTATTACCTGTGATTAGCCATGTGTTATTTTATTATCTGTAATTAGCCTTGTGCCATGTATTACCTGTAATTAGCCATGTGTCATGTATTACCTGTAAATAGCCGTGTTATGTATACCTGTAATTAGCTGAGTGTTATTTTATTACCTGAAATGAGCCGTGTGTTATTACACCTGTCTTTGTCTATATCAGCCATGGCCAGTAGTGGGGCGACATAATCTGGTGTAGCCCCCTGGTACAGTGGCAGTCTGAAGGACCGAAGTGTTACGGTATGTTATATACAGCACTCCGTAAAATAACAGTTCATTGACAGACTGGCCATCAATCAGCGAAAGTTACAATAAAATATAATCTATATAAAAATGTACCTCACCGTCAGCAGACAAAGACGAAATCAGAACTCAAACTTTATTCAAAAAGACGGAATAGAAAAGCAATTGTTGACATCAGAAAGGGAACGTTTTCTGTAGAAGAGTATGCTGCTAAATGCTAAACGTTTAATGCGAAATGCCAAAGGACAAAAGTAAGGGTATCGTACGGATAAAGTAGAGTTCCCACAATGGGGTCCTGTGACCATTTTTACCGGATCAGGGTTTGAAAGTTGATTTTGGTCAAATTGAGGGTGCTGATTAAATTGAGCTTGGGTGAACCTCGTTAAAATGAGGACTAACTCGGTCAGACGCAACAATTAAAAATGGCCGCAACCCGGTGTCTAGTATATCATAAAATTCATATCTTTGCTTCTAGATGTCCGTTTTATATGATTTTTTGGTCTAAATATATGTTTTGAAGGCCAGGGATTTTATTTTTTGCACAATAACTCGATAAAAGTCATTGTTAGAACGAAAAAGTGTTGTTTTTTTTATTATTATTTTGCTGCCAACAAACAGGTTAATCGCCAGCTGACTTTATAGGAAAAGACCAGGAAGACTTCCCTAATGATTTGGATACAAAGTTTTCATTTTTAACCATTGTAAACTAGATGAAACAACCATTGTATGAAATGTTTGGTCAATGATTTTGTTCATTTCCTGTTTAACGTCCTCGCATCAGCAAGAATGATATGATTGGTCTGGATTGCTTTTAATTTGTTTAATGTCCTGTTAACAACTAAGGTCATTTAAGGACGTGCCTCCATGTGTGTTGTGTAAGCGTGCATGTGTGTATGTGTGCCGAAGACGGGGAATGTCTGATGCCGACTTTATAGTGCTATCTCACTGAAATACCATGCCAAAGGCACACAGCCAAGCATTCCGTCCGGTCGCATTTTACTTACAATGGATAAAGTAGTTGTTACCTTTCCCTTTTAATGCTGAATGTTAAGTAGTGAATAACAACTGCATTTTTAAGGACTTTGATATATCCCGGCCTGGAGACAGAACCCGTTGCCTTCCTCACCTGGGCGAACGGTCACCATTAAAAAAGTGAGGTGTTGACAAGCAAGGAGCTAGAAGATAAAAAGTAGTTAGAAGAAGAAAGAAATATGATACAGATATAAAATATCGCAATGGATGTAGCAGATTAATTTCGGTCGCTTTAATGTCCCCAGATAGAGGACACAAAAGCAAATCCCTAATGGATCATACGAGGACGGGTGTCTAGAAAATCGCCGCAACAAACAACATGTAGTTAGAAGAGAAAGGAAACAGGAAAAAACTAAAGTGTTGTAATTGGGAGATTAATTTTGGTCTATTTTATAACCCCTTCGAGACTCCCGCCCCCTCAGACCTATTCTTTCCCCAAACTGCCCAGGCTATTTGGTCAATAAAACATATGTAGACTTTCAGTCACCATCTTCTTTGTCATCATTACATTCATCATTCTCATCAAAATCATTGTGCAAGCATGTATCTGCTCATGAGTCATGTTTAGCCAAGTCATGCTAACTTCCTGGAATTGCATTCTTGTTTAACCTAACTGATACACTTCAGCCGTGGATCAAGGGTTGCATTTGGCTTGTTATAATTCACTTGAATGCTAGTTTGGTAGTTTACTCGCGTGTTCCGTTCAGATTGTGGGAATCAAGCTGTGGTGGGGTGGGTCATTTGGACTTTTTTTTCATCTGACCCCACTTCAGTGCTCTGGTTTCACCTAAAGGTTTATTGATTTTAACATTGTATATGTGTCGAATAGTGAATGTGGCCATTTGCTGAAGAACCTCTTGTGTCACTCGAAAAGCTTTGCAATGTTTTTCTTAAAATTGCGTGCCTCATGAGTTTTAGTTTCCCATGTCCATTGAAGCCACCACATCCAATGTGGATATGTAATGGGATTAGGTTTTTAGCTACCTCAACAGAGCCAAGACCTCTGCAGCTAATGATTTTGTCATTCCTTTTATTAACAAGTGTGTCCTCAAGCTGTGCAGGTTTGGGGAAAAAATAGTGCTGAGTCCCACTGCATGACCATCAGAGGCGATCGAAGTGAGGGGGGTTGCAGAATTGGGGGGTCTCATCTGTGTCTTCTACGAAGAGGATATAGCAGAGATCAAAATTGATCTGCTTCCCCCATTACAACACTTTAGATGGTTTCCTATCTTCCTGTCTTGTTTCTCTTCTAACTACTTGTTGTTTGTGTCGGCGATTCCCTAGGCACCTGTCCTCATATGATTTATTGGGGATTTGCGTTTGTGCCTTCTATTTGGAGACACAAAAACGACCAAAATTAATCTGCAACACCCATTGCAATGTTTGGGATCTGTATTATATTTCTTTCTTCTTCTAAAAACTTTTATTTCCTAACGTCCTGTTTGGCAACACCTCAATTTGGCTTTAACGTTGAACGTTCGCCCAGGTAAAGAAGGCAATTGGTTCTGTCCCCAGGCCGGGACAACCAAAATCCTGTTGTTATTCCCTGCTTAAGGTTAAGCATTAAGGGGAATGCCAACAACTGCTTCACCCTTGTCTGTATAATGTGACCGGACGGAATACTGTGCTTGGTGCCTTCGGCATGGTATTTCAGCGAGATGGCACTATAAAGTCGGCATCAGATCCGCGCTATCACAAGGAGTCAAATTCCACCAACATACCCCGTCTTCGGCACACATCCATGTGCGTTGTGTAAACGTACATGTGTGTATGCACGTCCTTAAATGACCTTGGCTTTTAACAGGACATTAAACAAATAAAACTAAAACCGTCTAATTAAAGAAGCAGACTCCACAGTTACCAAAGATAGATCAGAATATGCTGGAGAGCAGGCTACCCAACCCTTACTTTCTTATAGGAAAGGGGAGGAAGGTTTTCCTAGGATCTGACCAGCTGGCAGTGTTGTCTCACCTCTGATCGTGCCCCTAGTTACATATATTTATTAACAATATATAAAAAAGCCCACGGCTTTAACCATTAATAGGGAAATCTCCCTAATCACAATGCCTTAGATCATAAAAAAAACTCTTGTTGTATGGCGTCTGTTTATCGCTCCATAATATTTTATCAAAAATTGATCAGTATATATGAATTAAACATGATGAAGTAGAAATTTGAACATGAATACTGACTATTAAAATTTGATAACGTATAACTGGAAAGTATGACGTAGATAACATGAATACTGACTAGTACATGGGATAGTATGAACATTGACTGGGAAAACTTAAATAACATAGATAATGACTAAAACATGGAAAATTTCAACAATCCTTTGCCCCTTCTAACTTAAAGCTGTATATGAAACGCTCTTCTTGTGCCAGTGAAAAGATATTTTTGAATTTTCGCGTCTGACCGAGTTTGCGCACATTATCAAGAGGTTCATTGATGCAAAGGACCAGGGGTTTCACAAATTTATCAGGTCAAAGTCGAGGTCGCTGTAACTAAAAATTAAAAAGTGGGGCTATACTGTCAAAAACACAGTACATGACCCTCAAAAGGCCAGATTTTGCTAAACATTTTGTTATGACATAATGAAGCAAAGTTGGTCATAACCAACAAGAAGTCAACTTTCCAAAGGTCAAGGTAATCTGGTCAAAAGATAATCATTAGGTCAAATTGAGCATTGAGTGACAATTAAACAATTGTATCTTTTGCAAATGATTTGTTTAGCATTTCATTTTTATAGTTTGAACACTAAGCTAAAGGACCAGATTTTTTTACCTTATTCTCAAAACGACCAAATAAGAAGTGTAGCGATGTTGTTAATTTACCTTATTCCTAGGGTGTTCATTAGAAGTGTAGTGATTCCGTTCATAAATAGAGAGGAGCTTAGAAGTTTGGCCTTGAAGTCATCGTTGTCTTCGGCACACACGACCTGGGCTACAAGCAGGGACACCGCCAGTGACGTAGACAGGGACAAAAGAGCTTGCTGAAAAGATCACGTTTTATTTTGTTACTAAAATATGAATAAAATACATAGTGACACATTGTTTAAGTGCTAAACTATCTGTTTACAATCAAATGAGAACATCGAAAACACGCATGACTTAATCCACGAAACATCCAGGAAAACAGAAAACAATAGGTTATCGGGGCATGAGTAGGCGGTGTAGTCGTTTTATACATTGTAAGTACCTGCAGCGCAAAAAGAAGGGTAAGGTGCACAGGAGTCGGGTCGCTGATTTTATAGATGAGGCCGCCATCTTTCTCCACGCCTATCTCTATGTCAGGTATATTGGTGATTTCGATTGCATCAACATCATCTTCACCGCCAAACGACGCCTTTTTTTCGATACTGTGATACTGAAAGAATATCAAAATAAGTATTTATTTAAGGGTAAATGATAATCAGTTTTCATTCGTTATATATAATTAATTGTGAAGAGAGAAAAAAATCTATGACAGCTACAATCAACATTGATCATTCTCGATGTAAAAGATTATAAATATCTGCCTGTTTTACGAAGATCTGAACTATTGTTTTGCGGTCATTGACTCTAAACTTCTGATTTCTTTATAATTTTCGAGACATCCAAACCTTCTGGGATAACGTAATCTTTAAACTACTAAAACAGTATGTTGATAAACATGTCTAAAAAAACCGCCGTTCATAGTAGACTAATAACGGACTTAGATTTAATTGTACATTATAACAGGGGGTGACTTATCAACAAACCGTACTGATCCGGACCTAAAACAGATTTTATCTTTCTTATTTAGAACACCTCCGGACCGCCTCTTTTTGTGGATAACTTGAGTCACTTTTCAAAAATGCATAAAAATACACTTAAATACTTTCATTCAATAAAACACATATCTTACAACATGAATTACACAAACGGCTTAATTCTAAGCTGTACGGTAATCGGGACAATTTTGATTTTGCGATCGTGAACATTCCTTTTCTTGATAGTAACATCCCTGATTACCTTCCTATCCATCATTATCCAATTGATATATTCTTTATGTGATACCCAACGGAAACTCAACGCAAACGCAACGGAAACGCAACGGAACTCAACGCAAACGCATACAAATCGTTTCATTAAACACGCTCCTAAAACGCCGTTCATAGTAGACTAATAACGGACTTAGATTTAATTGTACATTGTAACAGGGGGTGACTTATCAACAAACCGTACTGATCCGGACCTAAAACAGAATTTATCTTTCTTATTTAGAACACCTCCGGACCGCCTCTTTTTGTGGATAACTTGAGTCACTTTTCAAAAATGCATAAAAATACACTCTTGTTGCATTAATAGAACGGAAATAAGATCTAGTATGGTAATTGTCAACTATTTTCTTCTTAATTAATGTGGTTGTTGTGGCTGTAGTTTGCAAGAAGTCTGAATGACATCTATATGCTTCGATGTTTAAAGAGTTTTAAAACATATCTGGTGAATCTTACTATGACTTTCATGCTTTCAAATTTATCATACACATAAAAATACACTCTTGTCGCATCAATAGCATGTTTTGATTTTAAGTGACGTGATTAATATCTTATATGATAATTGTCAAATATGTTCTTCTTAATGTGGTTGTTATGGCTGTAGTTTGCAAGAAATCTAAATGACATCTATATGCTTCGATGCTTAAAGAGCTTTAAATCATATCTGGTTAATCTAACTATGACGATGCATTCACGTTTTCAGTCCATGCAATATCAATGTTATGTATTTCAATTTTGTTATGAAAGAAAACATTTGTTAGCTGAAACTCACCAAATGGATGCAATTATCAAATTACTCTTAACAAATATATCAAATAAGAGAGGTATAATAGGCTGGGAAGGTCTTTGTATCAGGAAATCATATTTTCTTAAATAGCGTTTGATAGCAGAGACTAGTCCATGGTACTGGAGAACGTTTGTGTTGGTTTGTTAAATCCAGATATGTTCACACAGAAATGTTAAATTATAAGAAAAGATATAAACATACACCTCACTATATAGGTAGTTGAAGATCCATGCATCATTACTGGGAGTAAGACACAGGTAACGATATTTGATTGATCCTTGAATACATTTACATGACATATACATGCACACACGTATAGCACTAAAGACACGTTGAGATCTTTTCTTTATATATTATTTCTTTGTCTGTAAGGATATTTTTCTGGGCAGATTACCTCCAACAACCCAGGTGGAGTATAGGTGTGGGGTGTATGTTGCGGTATCTGTGCTGTAGCATTCTAGTGAGGTGGCACTATAATTGATGCCGTTGGAAGCACGGTTCCACTACAAACAGAACACATTACATATCACAAACATAGGCATACACACATAGGGAGATATTTTCCAAGTGGCATAGGACTAGTAGTTAGCGCCTGCTAAGGCAGCTCCTGCGAATTCCTCAAAATAATTGTATTGATTAAGGTATATGCTAATTGTATTAATATATGTACCGTAAAGCGCTTTAGAGTGGTTTATGTTAGTGTGGCAGGTTTTAAGTGTGAATAGGATTACGGTCACCTTCTAGCTTCCAGCTAGAGGGAATTTCCCTTTAGCTCAGTAGTACAGCGTCCGACTAGGAACCTGGATATCGAGGGTTCTTTCCCCAATGGAAGTACACTATTCTCTTTTCAGTTACATTAGCTAGATAGGATGCTATATGAAATGTTGTATATTGTTATCATAATCATATCCGCGAGATTATTTTCAGATTTTATAATATATATATAATGTGATGCCCATTTATTATATAATATCATCCATTATATATGTGTGTGTGTACCAGGTAGCATGTGTCATGTCCCTAGGTTGTTGATGTAGGTTACGGAATTAAGTACTATAGAAAGATTCTCAAAGAGCTATGGCAGAAAACTGCCCATATTTTTGAAAATGGGTAAAAATATTGATGAATAAATAAATTCTAGTAGGGAAAATGCATGGAATGTATATATATATATATTTTTCAAATATTTTATTTCACCCAGCCAAATATTATATATATATATACTACTGATGTGGGTCAAAGAAGTAATATAGACGGTAAAATCCAATATAACACTGGATCCTAATGGAGGTATGTCCGTAGGAAACGAATTACTGATAAGTATATACAGATATATATAAATAAATTGATAGGAACTGCCAGGGTTGGGGAGCCCTGGAGTCAGTCCCCTAAACAGTATGGTGTCCTCACACAGGAGGGCTTTCATTCATTTTTCTCTGCTAATTTTATCTAAATTCAAATATTTCAATTTCATAACATTATTTCATCAATATAACATTCAGAAATTTGATTGGGAAATAAAACATTTGTACATATAGTATTGGACATCTACAGAACAAGAACATGCTACCACATTTCACACACAGCACACACATCCAGACGTGTTTACATATACATCAGTATCATAATCACTAAACATAAACAAAACACTTATACACACAAATATTCATACACATATACATACGTACATAACATACACTCCTACGACCTACATACGTATATACATACATGCATACCCATGCACGTACATACACACTAACATCAGCAAGTATGCATGCACTTACATACGTACACATGCATGTAAATACAAACATACATGTCCATTATTGCGTGTATCCATATAAGCACCAGAAAATAATATATTGTTCATGCACCCTACTAACCCGTATTGTGTTTGTTTTTGGAGAGAGAAATATAAATCAACAAAAAGGCAATTGTAGTATACAAAAAATTCTCAAAATAAATCCTTCCATTCCATCTGTCTTTGATCAAATGTTTCATTGTAAAAAAAATTTACTGATAAAGCTTTCTCAATTTTATCTGAATGCAAGAAACTCATTCAAACCATTTAAACTTAACTTCTGTTTTTTTCTGGAAACAGTATATATATAATATTTTGTATACAAAATAATATAGTTAATGGGCATAGGAGCATTTTCGGTAATTCCAAACAGTCTTGTTTCCAACTTAAAATCAATGATTTTCCTTTTTCTGCTAAATAATCTCTCTTTTAAATCTTGCCATAGATTTAAAGACTGGACATTTCCAGAATAGATGTTCTGTAGTTTCTATTTGTATTTTACACATATTACAGATATTGTCATTTGACATCCCAATAGTATTTAAATAGTTTTTAATTGGGAGGATACAATTTTGTAATCTGTATTGAAACCATTGCAGTGTTGTGTCTTTTGTAACTTTAAAGACAATGCTATATGAACTTTTCCAATCTATATTTCTAAAAATTTCTTTCAATACTTATTTTCTTTCAGCTGTATTTACTTATTTAATTTTACTATTTAATATGTCATACATGTCTTCATAACCTTTTTCTTTTTCTTTATGATAATATAAATATGACTTGGTAGGAAGGACCTCTCCAAAGTGGTTTCTGCAGTTAAGTTATAATTTAATTGTTACAGCATTGCCTAATAGACTGGCATATACTATGGTAAAACAAGAAGTGTCCAGGGCTTATATTGTATTTCAGTTTAAAAATTACCAAAAGTTAAAAAAAAACATTATTTTGCTCTAATAGATCACAGACATTTTTAACTCCCCGATCAAACCATTTTCGGACAAAAAAAAGACTTTTTGCCAATACAAAAAAGTGGGTTATACCAGATTGGGAGCGTTAAGAACTGCTTAATAGATTTTATTTGTGTTACTTCTGGAACATCTACCCATGCCTAAAAAACATCCTTCCAAAACACATTACTAGTCTTAAAGTTTTTGATAAAAACAATTCCCATATCCGATATATTTTCTACTGGAAAGTGCTCTGCTTCAAAAATATGTATCCAGCTTTTACCATTATTTTTCAGTAATCTTCGTATCCAAGTGGACTTCAAACTAGAAATGAAATTATTGATGTTAATCATTTTAAGGCCTCCACTTTCATACTTTTGGATTATAGTATTTCGTTTAATTTTGTCATCAGGAGATTGCCAAATGAAGTTAAAAAATAATGTGTTCAGCTGCTGAATAAAAGTGCTGGTTGGTGTAGGAAGTGCAATAAACAGATGATTAAGTTTTGGTATAATTATTGATTTCAATACTACAATACGACCAATAGGGGTTAAAATCCTACGTGACCATTGGGTTATACTGTTATTTACATTTTTTAGGGCTTTCACATAATTCAAGCTTATAATCTCTTCTAAGATAACTGAAAAATGAATACCTAGCAAATCAAATTTTGTTTCCCCCCCTTTTAATTTCCATCTATGATGGTAGACATCTGCGCTGAATTTCCTGCTGCCAATCCAAATAATTTTTGTTTTATCATTATTTACTTTTAGACCTGACATTTTACCAAAACAATCTAAAGTATTTAAAGCT